CTATTTCTTATACATACCGTTAGGTTAAAGTGTTCTCAAAAGGTATTAAGAGGTAATAATATTTTTTAAACATATCATTAGGTTAAAGTGTTCTCAAAAGGTATTAAGAGGTAATAATATTTTTAAACATATCATTAGGTTAAAGTGTTCTCAAAAGGTATTCAGAGGTAATAGTATTTCTTATACATACCATTAGGTTTGCAGCATCACTGAATTCCCCTTCACTACCAGTCTCTTTCTTTGACTCTTCAGGATCATAGACAAATGAAATATGCTGTTTCATAGGAGGTCTGTCACCCAGCACGCTTCCGAAATTATAAATGTTTTGGCTTTCACTCGATTGGTCCAAGTTAGATGTAAAATCTCCAAAGGTACCGAAACCACTGTCCAAATCATCTGTGCTTAATTGTAAAGGCTCAAATTCCCCGCTCCCACGAAACTGTTTAGATAGTTTTCCTAGATGTTTTTGCTCTTCTAAAAGTGTCTTTTCCTGTGGTTTCTGAAGAACGGTCCCAAATACACCTAAAGATTTTTGTAGATGAGGAACACCAACAAATGTACCCAGAGGATTCACAGGGTTGATCTGACCTCGTGAGTGGTGTTTTTCGGTTTCGTCATCAAAATAAAACTGGTTATTGTTGTGGTGGTTGTGACTTGAAACATCAAAGGTTCTGGGCGATTTGTCTTTTGCTGATGAATGGTTTTCTTGCTGACCTTTGTCTGAACCTCTGGAAACTTCTCCTAAATTGTTCTCATTCAGAGAAGAAAACTGCCCAGTAGGAAACTGAAAACCATGGTTCCCAGAAAAGCTTGGGTGGCTCAAGACGTAACTGAAGAGGCCTCTAGGAAACGAGAGAGGAAACATTGGAACTTCATTGGTTATTTCCCTGTGACGGGCCATTCGACGCATATGATTCCACATGACACGTAGTTGGGCACAAGAAGGTTCTGGTTTTGATTCATCTGATAAATATTCGGGGATCTGCTCTATCTGCCTCCGAGAAATAGCTATGACGTCATATGGGTTCCGAACATTATTCAGTCCCGGTGGTTTTTGTAGAAGTAACGAAGACCCTTCTGGGCTTATAGACAAAGCATTTCCTGCAAGTATTTGGCTTTTAACAAGAGTCGCAATAATGACACAGCAAGTAAGTACCGCCATTTTGTGAAAGGAATCGGCGTTTTCTAGAAAGTATTATTGAAAACATGTTAGTTAATCAAAAATAAAAAAAAAGATAAAACCTACAACTAAACACTTCTTCATTTAAACGTTGCTAAAAGTCAGCAAAATCATTATTTCTATTAATTTAGAAATTCATTTTTCTTCAGTTTAAGGAGATCAAGGTTGAGGTTCTTTTTTTTTCATAATGTTCTCACAAAGTTACACAATGGCTACCCGCTCGTAGCTTTCCCTGACTTTTGAATTTATAGACTAGAGGGAATTCAAATTTTCCAGCCATTATTAGACTAGAGGGAAAGCACCTACTGAACAACACACCCCTCCAGCTCTGGGCTTTTCTTATCTGCTCGAGAAGTTGGATTCGTCCATCACTCATAGAGCGCAACACGGCCCCAAAGCTAAGAGCACATTTTTGTGGCAACGAGCCATGAACCATAGTCCGAGCATGCCGGCTGCTAAGTCATGCCGATTCAGACAATTCATGATTGCGCTTTCTCAGAAATTACCAAAATAATCTAAAGTAAAAGACCAATTTTGAAGTACAAAGATTTAGTTTAGGATTTATTTGAGTTTTATCATGTTTTTGCTGAAACTACTTTTGCAGTAGGCTTGATAAAATTGAATAAAGCGTTAAATAATAAGTAAATGCTATTGTTTAAACACATTTTAGTGTTCTCTGTGAATTTGAACTTTTCTTAGGCACATTGTTCCCCTGGCGGTTATTCTTTATGTGTGAATAAATTTGTGGTATTGTGTACTAGTATTTAGTATTTTTAACTGAATGGCAGCTTATGCAGCACGTGGGCTAAACGGCTATGTCAGACATCCCAAGTTTCTCTAATTTAGAAATTCTGGTAGGAGGAAGGAAAACAGTCAACAGCACCAGTCGCCTACATGGCTAATATTATATAATGTGCCCACAACTGAAAGTGTAAAACGTATTTAGCAGCATATCACGGAGAGGGAAATAGAGTTATATTTTAAATTTAATTGTTTGTGTTGAAATCGTGTACCATTGTTTAGTATCGAAGGAGTAACTGTTGACCAGTTCGGAAAAAAATGACTTTGTGTTTGCTTGTTTAATTTCGCGCAAAGCTACAGCGAACTATTTGGGGTAGCTGTGACTAATTTTGAAGTAATAGATTGGAAATAATTGTTGACCAGTTCGAAAGAAAATGACTTTGTGTTTGCTTGTATAATTTCGCGCAAAGTTACAGCGGACTATTTGTGGTAGCTGTGACTAATTTTGAAGTAATAGATTGGAAATAATTGTTGACCAGTTCGAAAGAAAATGACTTTGTGTTTGCTTGTATAATTTCGCGCAAAGTTACAGCGGACAATTTGTGGTAGCTGTGACTAATTTTGAAGTGATAGGTTGGAGGGAAGGCAGCTAGTCAATACCACCCACCGTCAACTCTTGGGCTAATATTCTCAGACAGAATAATGGATTTGATTGTCATTCATGTAATGCACCCACGGTCTCGAAGTGCAGAGCCCGGTTTGTTTTACAATAACGGGACGCGAACCATGTAACAACAGCTCCACACTCCAGTACTCTAACCATTGGGCACAGGGAAAGGAGTGAAATACAAAAGTACAGTCGATGGTTCAAAGTAAGGAGATGTTACGTGAATAATGCTTAAAGAACACATCTATGTCAACATTACGTATATAAGTAAAATATATATTAAAAAAATTGGCCTGGCATGGCCAGGTGGATAAGGCGCTCGACTCGCAATCGGAGGGTCGCTGGTTCGAATCCCCGTCCCACCAAACGTGCTCGCCCTTTCAGCCATGGGGGAGATATAATGTGACAGTCAATCCCACTATTCGTTGGTAAAATAGTAGTCCAAGAGTTGGCGGTGGGTGGTGATGACTAGCTGCCTTCTCTCTGCTAAATTAGAGACGGCTAGCGCAGATAGCCCTCGTGTAGCTTTGCGCGAAATTCAAAAACAAACAAAAATTGTTTAAAAATTTTAACTGGGTAATACAATCATGATATACATAATTTACAATGTAAATATGTTGAACTTCAAAGAGTTGTTGGTTTAAATGTTCTACGTCGGAATATTATAGGAATATTTTTATTTGCGCTTAGTTACTAGCTTCAGGCAAGCGCAATAAGCTAATGGAAATTAAGCCAAAGACAGACGGCAGGTATCGAATATATTGTGTATATTTTTATCGTAATATAGACAGTCCTTACCATACAAACGCCACAATTTCCGTGATTACTCTTAACAAATACAATTATTTTACAAACGTATTTCTCGATAAGTAGGGAATAACAAGGATTTACCTCTGGGCATCTTTAGAACAGAACTTTGTTTCATATCGCTGATGATAAATATATTAGTCATGAAAGGTGAAACATTCCCCCACCACCCTCCTAAGGAACATTAAAAACACGAGATAAGTGGCCTAGGAGGTAAGATAAATTAGAATCAGCACAAAACTGGAGCCATATTTTAACTAATAACTTCAGGCTTTGAGGAAGCTGCGTTATCAAGAAATGGAGACGATTAATCAACCATGATCTACAGGGGTTGATATGCTCGTTTATATACAAACTATAAATGGATTCTTGACTTGTTATTTCAAAGTATAATCTAAACTGTTTATCCTTGTCTTGATGACTCAAGTTTCTTTAATATTTTTATATTCTTTTTTGGGATAGTTAGACTTGTGACGTAAGCATATTGAAAATGTTCTTATTCTTTTACATTGTAGTTTGAATGCTACTTGATCACTTTTTCATACATATCTTTGATCTTCCTGCTGATTTTGATCCCCTATTTACATCGTTCTAACAGTTTGTATTATCTAACAGTTTATGTAGCTCTTGGTTCAGAGGCGTAGCAGGGGAGGGGGGGGGCTCGTTTTGTATCATTTAATAAAGAAATGATTCTTCTATAAACATTATTACATTTGAGTTGCTTTGTTTTAATTACCATTTTATTAAAACTTTAGATCAATTTCAGCTTGTTAATTTATCCCCCCCCCCTAAAAATTTTCTGCCACCCTGAGTGGAAAACCTAGCTACACCATTGTCTTGGTTGTGTTAAAGATATGTTTGTTTGTTTGTTTGTAGTTAAACTCAAACCTACACAATGAGCTATCTGTGCTCTGCCCACCACGGGTATCGAAACCCGGTTTCTAATGTTGTAAGTCCGCAGACGTACCGCTGTGCTACTGGGGGGGGGGCGTGTCAGATATGACACTTATTGTGTGAAAACGGCATTATGAAAACAAGTATGTTCGAAGCACTTGTCACACGCCTAGCCCTTAATATGTTTCATGCCATTATACTTTATAGAAATGTGTTCTTGAAAGTTCTTGCAAAATATTTACATGTGAAACACTTTTAATTTATCTTATGATATAAAGATCACTGTGAAAAATTAACCAATGTGAAATTAAAAATAATTTCACAAAATCATTATAATCTATCTTTTAGTTGTCAGTCTCGGCTTCGTTTGTTTTTAGAGTGGGGAATCGAAACCCGGATTTTAGCGTTGTAATTCCGCTGTACCATCGGGGAACCAAGTCTCGGTTTAAGAGTTGGATAGATTTGTCTTTTTGTTTCAGAATTTGGGGCAAACTTATACAAAAGTTATTTGAACATAGTTGTCTACTACAGGTAGTCACCAGCAACTATCAATAACCCATGGGCTACTCTTGAGTGACGAAATAGTGCATCAAATGGCCCCAAAACTGCAGAGCATGATTTTGTAAAATCAGGACACGAATCATTGACTTCCGGGCGCGTTAACTACTTGGCCACTCCTACCCCAATTTGTTAGGTAAACACCTTTTTCATGAAAACTATCAGCTGTTATATGTGGCGCGTTCGTTACAATGGGTTTCTAATATTCTCGGTAGTGAATGTGCTAGTAATAACTAAATTAATTAATAACTCAGCGCCACTAAGTTTGAAATGATTGCGATGGATGTTATATTTTAACGTTTATAGATTTGAAGTTAGCTTACCCAGTGGTATGCGTGGCACTAAAATATGTATTATTATCAAACGAAACGCTAAACTTCATTACGTATCCTGAAAACTAAGCTTTTAGAACTATATCTTAATGTTAGGTAACTTAATAGGCACAATGATACTTTCCAGATATTCTATAAGTCCCTCATGGATGGCTTTACCACAAACATTTTAGGACTTACTTGTTTGTTGTTAAGAGCAGAGGTACACAATGGGTTATCTGTGCTGTGCCCACCATTGGTATCGAAACCAGGCTTTTAGCGTAATAAGCCTTCAGATTTACAGCTATGCCATTGGAGGGGGGGGGCAAAAGATTTTAGGAAAAAATAAGTACAGTTCATAGTAACAGACAAGTATTTGTTAGTTTGTTTTGAATTTCGTGAAGCTACACGAGGGCTATCTGTGTCCCTAATTTAGCAGTGAAAGACTAGAGGGAAGGCAGCTATTCAACACTACCAACCGCCAACTGTTGAGCTACTCTTTTACCAACGCATAATGGGATTGCCCATTACACCATAACGCCTCCATGGCTGAAAGGGTGAGCATCTTTGGTGGGATGGGGACTCTCAGATTGCGAATCGAGCTCCCTAAGCATTTGACCATACCAGGTCTATCAGAAATGGGCAAAATTAGTTAATTTTTTGCTTTAAGAAGCAGCCACTCGTATTCTTGGCTCATGACTATGTTAATATTTCTGTTTCATATTCAGATGAGTTTTAATAAATCTAAGGACACATTTTATTGTGAAACTGTAATATCTATGGAAATCACGACAAGTATTTTCAGAGTATACCGCTTGTCAGTTATTATTTTGAAATTTTCTGTTATGGTTTATTAAACACCCATTACATAACACTAATGTATATGATAAATACTATTTCAGTTATTTTTCAACAGTATGCAGAAGTGCACGTAAATAAAATGCGTGTTTGCTTCTCGGAGAAACATGGGTACTATCGACCAGGTGTGGCATACCATAATAACTGGCATAAAGTTAGTATTCTTAAC